TTTGAAGCTGATCCTTCATCCACAATGGCCGCCAGATGGGGACAATGTTTAACAAAGGACCCTATGGACAATATATACAAATGTCTTCTTTTAGAGAACCACATACTGAATGGATTGAAACCAAACATGGCATGAATGTTCCTTATGAGGTACTGACTAAGTTTTGTTACTTTGAAGCTGATCCTTCATCCATGATGGCCGCCAATGGGGGGACTTCCTTTAACATAAGACCCTATGGGAAATACATACAAATGCTTCTTCTAGAGGTGCACTGAATGGAATGAAACCAAAACATGGCATAAATGTTTCTTATGAGGTGCTGATGAAGTGTTGCTACTTTGTTACCGATTTACTGTTCAAGATGGCCACCAGGATTTTTTATTAAATTACAGGACCAGTATTAAACCAAATTTGGCCTCACTCATTATTAGGGTATCTGTTATGATTTTAATCTATTTTTACATGATTTCCAAAACCAAAGTAGAATCAGGTGAGCGACACAGGCTCTTGAGAGCCTCTAGTTCTCACCCTCTTCAAGTGGGCACTTCCTTCCCTCAATCAAATTTATTTGTTACATGTACTGGCCATGCCAGGGAAAGTTGAATTTGAGTTCTGCTTGCCTGCATAAAAATCTGCAGAAGACCTTATATTTCAAACCCTGTATTTGGTTTCAAGCTTAATCTAAGTTGCTTATCCAGTTCATACACAGGCCTCCAGATATTCATATTGGAAAAATATACCTTTCTGCAAGTCAATAAAGCATGAATAGAACGTTTATTAAAAGTGTGAATTTTTATTCTACATATTTATTAAAAAATGAAATTTTTGAATTTCTTATGGTTAAAATTCAAGTCAGATGCTAACCATTGATGCTTCATTCTCACAAGTATAGTATTCACTAAAGATAATCTTTATTTCTTTTAAGAAGTAAATATATTCAGTAGCCGAACCTAATGCTGACATCTGTTTTAACTAGTAAGATAAAATGTAATAATAATAGGGTTGTGTTTACTGGTATTATCTAATGGTAGTACAAGATTGTATAATAAATAAATATAATCATACAGTGTAGGAAGTGTAAACTGCACCTGAAGCAAACATAATTAGGACAAATGTAACAACATATTTTTTTCCTCAGTTAAATTGTATATCAGAAATAAGAATCAACGTATTGTAAGAACTTAAAGATTATCAGAATTTTCCCCTAATACCAAGTTGTATACTGTGTATTGTAAGAACAGTTTGTATACTGTTTAAAAAATTGTTGATATTTCATTTCTTTTTTAGCTCACCTGGCCCATATGGTCAGTGTGAACAATTGCCTTCATCTGTAAATTTCTAAAAAAAATCCCTTCAGAAATCACTGTACCAGTTGAAATGAAACTTGGTAAAAAATCAATGTTGGTTTGATTTAAGTCTAAAACTTGTTCCTGCTGTTCAAGCTGATCTTACACATGGCAACTCTTTCTAAATAAAAAAATTAAGGGTTACCATACAGAAAAGTAGTTTATTATTGTGTGGCTTTTCTTTGTAAATATTTATCTGATTTTTAAATTAATAGAAACTTAACATGCAACAGCAAAAGTAAAAAATTGTGTAACAAGCAGTTACTGATAAATAGCAAATATTTTGTGGTGAAAAAGGAAGTGGATTGTAATTACGACATAAGGAACATATCCGATATCATCTGTGAAACGGTTATTCCATTAAGTTTTACCCTTGTACGTCTGTCCGTAAGTCCCGAAATTAGTTTCCATTCTCTAACTTTAGTTTGCCTCAACCAAATACTATGAAACTTATACACAATGCTTATTACCACAAAATACAGATCAAGTTTGAATTTTGGTGGTGTTACTTTTATTGTTCTAGAGTTATGCTCCTAAACAAATGGAAAAATTGCTGAATTTTTTGTTTCCATTCTCTTACTTAAGTTTGCCTCAACCAAATTTTATGAAACTTACACACAATACTTATTAGCACAAAACTCAGATCAAGTACAAATTTGGGAAGCGTCACTTTTACTGTTCTTCAGTTATGTCCCTTTATTACTTTATCTGATATGCAAGCGGGGACATCATCTGTGTCCCATGGACACATTCCCCATATAAATTTATTTCTCTATTCATTTAAAAAATATAAATCTTGCTTTTAAAAATCACAATAGTTGCCCAATGTCTATGGCATATTACAAATTTATATATGCTCAGATTCAAAACAGTATCTAAATTACCTATAAAAATACAGATAACTTTATTATCATTACTGAAAGGGAAAGGCCAAAATTTTATTGATTTAAAGCAAACAAGTATCAATAACACTTGTTTATATCTCATTTTTGCTGCTTAATTGTAATGGAAATATGATGAATTAAGGATCATGTCAGCTTCTTGTACATATCTGAAAATTTATTATAGTTTCAGGCAAAAATAACACATGAGAAAATCAGTATGAACAAAAAAATTTGAAAAAAATAGCTGATTCTATCATGAACACAGGGATCAATTATAAATCATATTTTTCTTCAGCTCTACTTAGATATTATATAATTGTAAGTCATTAGCTAGCGACACAATACTAGAATCAATATATAAACTGGTTTTTCCCCCCACTTAGGTTGGTGCCTATATTTCCTTATCAGAAAGGAAGTAGGCATTTGTGTCAGAAATTTGATTATTTTATATGATTGAAACATGCTAGGGGTACTAACCTAGTTTTAACACCAGATATAAGTATCAAAATAAATTTAAAGTATTGGAAACAATTTCATTTCAAAGTTTTCATTTTATTTAATGTTAGAGAGAAAATTTATTCTCCAGTTTAATTTATATCATTTCTTTCTTCCACCTTTAGATTTTCCATTTTATCATTTTCCATCGATTGTAAATTTTCTCCATAAATCTACTGGTAATTATGAGCTTTGAGTTTTCCTGGTCTGTAAAAAACATGGTTTTTGGAGTATTGTCTGCCTCATTGCTGGTGAGGAAATATTTATTGTTGGCTTTTCCCCCTTTTTATAGTAAACCTATGTCTGTATAGTTTCTTGAAATTATTGAGGATAAATGATAGATGTTAGTGAGATGTCTAATGTTGCAAGTAATGTCAGACTTATAATTTGTTATTTTGGCAGTTGTTTCAATGATACGACAGATTTGTGTATGTTTAACTTAGTTTGTTAAGAAGTTTTATTTCACGTACTGATTCCATATTTTCGCGGTAGTTACCTTATTAGAATATAAACTCAAATAAAACTCTTCTAATGATCTACTAATGTATTTAAAATCAAAACCCATCTTTATTAATGAAGATCAATCCATGTTTACAAATGATATCAACATTACGGGAATTTCCCTTGTGTGATCCATGGTTGCAGATTGGTAAACAATATGTAACAAGCTCTGCCATTGGTCAGTCGGAAGTATAAAAGCAAAAGCAACAACAGAACCGACGGATTGTTGGGTTGGCAAAGTTGGAAAGTATCAAATTTAAAATAGAAGCTAAAATGTGTCTGATAATCACAACCAAGCGTTGAAAGTTAACTTTGTTTTTATTGAAGGTTGTTGGTGCCGGTGCTAAATCGGGTTGCCGGTGACGGTGCTAAATACGGTTGCCGGTGACGGTGCTAATTATAATGTAGTTATATAGACGGTGCAAATTAAGGTTGTCAGTGATGGTGCTAAGGTTGTGGGTGACGGTGCTAAATCAGGTTGCCAGTGACGGTGCTAAAGTTGTGGGTTACGGTGCTAAGGTTGTGGGTGGTGGTGTTAATTAATATTGCCATTGACAGTGATTAAGTTTGTTAGCAATAGGAATTCTTTTATGAATGACGAGACTAAATAATATTGCCGGTGAGGGTGCTAATGTTGTTAGTGATAGTAATAAATAAAGTTGTGGAGGAGGGTGCTAAGGTGGTTAATGACAGTCCTAAGTAAGGTTGTTAGTGACGGGGGTAAAATTGTTGCTTTCTATATTTAATATTTGTTTTAGATGTTTTATTATGATAAGTCGATGTTGAATACTGTGAAATGGTGATAATATCCTTAAATTGGGATTATTGAAAGAGTCCAAATAAGGGACCACCGGGTTACTTAACTGTTGAATTATATATAATTAGCAGGTTATTATCAAAAGTGTGTTTGTATACTGTAAGACCAACCATTACCGAGGACCCGAACAGACCAGTGACAGAGCCTGCCAGACCCATTCTCTCTGTCGTGGATTATTTTTGATATTAATAAAATATGAAACTTTATTTTATTCAGATATTTTATTTAACAACTGAGAATATATATATAACTACAGATATACGATTTCCCTTTCTGTAACATGTTTTGGTCAGACGGTAAACAGTGGACGTCGAACCTTACACTTTATAGAACCTTTTACTCTCTTTTTCTTTGTGACCCTGTGTTCTCTGGTGGCCGACTCTAGCACCAGGGAGGCAGCATTTCAATATATAGTAATAATCTTAGTCTTTCTGTTCATTTGTTTGGAAATTAACCATCGAGGCAGTTTTATAGGGTTTTAATAGACATTCCAGCAAGTAAGAAAGTATTTGAGTTATTTTACATATAAACAGGGATTCTGTCAAGACTCAAGATGAAGAACAGCCATAACAAAGCTGTTCCTGTGATATGTTGGTTATTTACTAGTATATTTGTATTTATTGAGATTTTTTTTTGTCTCATTTACATCCATTCTCTTTTATTCTTATTACAACTCAACGAAGATCTTTTCTTTTTATGACTGTAACTGTGGATTCATTTATTTTTGTAGGTTGAGAACTAATTGTATTTAAATTTTTGTTGTATATTTGATTTTATAGTCTAACCAAAGTCTGCAATCAAGCCTATAAAAAGATTGTACCTTGTAGAATATTTAAATTCAGTTACCCTTTACCCACAATCCACTTAAAATGTGTATTCCACGAATAATTAGATGAATCCACAGTATGAGGTATTCTATTTGATATTTGTTACAGAAATTGTAATTTATGATTGTAGGTAGATCTGTATAAGAAGGAAACGTCCAGGAAAGACAAAGAGGTCTTAGGTCTAACCATGAAGAAAGAAACATTGGAAAACCAGCAGGTTGAACACCAACAGTACATACAGCTTCTGAAGGAACAAATTACCGCAAAAGATCAACAAGTTGTCATGTTACAGAGTGATGTAGGTAGCATTTAAGTTCATGTCATGTTACAGAGTGATGTAGGTAGCATTTAAGTTCATGTCATGTTACAGAGTGATGTAGGTAGCATTTAAGTTCCTGTCATATTTGGATGTGGATAATAAAATAATGAACATGAAATGAAGATTCTTAAGTTTCAAGCTCAGTGACTTTGAAGATTCTGAATGCTTATACCAGTTAATCATTTTCAAAAATGACACAGGGAAAGTATTCAAATAAAAGATTCAAATGTAGAAAATTCATTTTAAATCAGAAGATGTACATATTTCTTTGTCATGAAACCAATGTATAAATGCCACAAAATAGAACAATAATTATTGTGTTAGACCCTCTTTTCTCTGTAAATTTAACCATGTACACTCAAATATGCGTATTTTGATTTAATGATTTAATTATACATTTATTGATTATTAATTTTTTTTAAAATTAGGCTGAAACTTCACACCTATCCAGTGGGAATGCAGTTTCGATAGAAAGGTTGTGATTAGATAAATTAAGATTCAATACCTTTATTTTGTCTTTGAATTATGAGTTACTATGATTTTAGTTGGAAGATTTGAGAGACCGAGTGAAAGATAAAGATTCAACCATTGACAGAAAGGCTCAGAAATCTCAGTCACTACAGTCAGAGAAACGTAAGATTGAAACTGAGGTTTCCGACCTGAAGGAACAACTAGAAATTAAAGACAGAAGAATATCAAACTTACAAACACAGGTAGAGTACACTACACAACCACACAATTACTTTGTTAGAACATAGAATTAAAACACAAAATTACATTGTTAGAACATAGAATAAAAACACAAAATTACATTGTTAGAACATAGAATAAATACACAAAATTATATTGTTAGATCATAAAATAAAAACACAAAATTACATTGTTAGAACATAGAACAAAAACACAAAATTACATTGTTAGAACATAGAATAAAAACACAACATCATAGAATAAAAACACAAAATTATATTGTTAGATCATAGAATAAAAACACAAAATTGTATTGTTAGAACATATCATAAAACACAAGAACATAGAATATAAACACAAAATTACATTGTTAGAACATAGAATAAAAACACAACATCATAGAATAAAAACACAAAATTATATTGTTAGATCATAGAATAAAAACACAAAATTGTATTGTTAGAACATATCAAAAAACACAAGAACATAGAATATAAACACAAAAATACATTGTTAGAACATAGAATAACAACACAGAATTACATTGTTAGAACATAGAATAAAAACACAAAATTTGAAAGCATGAAATAAAGGAAGGAGGTTGGATATATCTGAAATTTGAAAAAAATGTTCCGTTACATCTCTGTGAATATGGATCTTGCAAGCCATCTAAAACCTAGCATGGCAAGAAAATTTCCCAATATGTGCAGCAAGGCAGTAACCCAGATAAACACAGGAAGCACACATGAACTCCACTAACTCTTGTAACTTAATCATCCTACAGTGATGTAAATGGTAACAAGAGAAGACAAGCTATGAAAATTCTAATATCAAAAATTTTACAGTTATAAACACTTTGTAAAAATCAAACTATTTAAATCAGATAGTATAAGATTTTAAGTACAGTAACAGAAACAACCTGGACTAAAGTGACGATAAGATCAGGAGATATTTGGTTCATGACATTAAGATTTCATGTAAAAAAATATTGTTATGAAATTTCTAATAGTTATTAATTCTTATTTTTATTTGGTTTGAAATCTTGGTCCTTAATACCTAGTTTTAGAGGAGTATTGCATGAAATGAATGCAAATTCGACAATAATACAATGAAGAATTGGGGGAAAAATTCTTATGTATTCCCATTTCTTGGGGACATATATACTTTATTCATACTGAGAATCATTAAGACTTTATCTTTTTTAGTGTCAAAAGAAATGTTTTAATTCTTACTATCATACTTGGAGTCTTCATCTTGAAAGTTGCTAGCAAGTCTTCAAAAATGAACTGAATCCTCAGAAATGTCAACAAGATATGACAGTCTAAGGTTTATTAAAAGAAGTATCGCCGTAAAATTTTTTATATACTGCTTTTCAGATTGATTCCCTAGAGTCAGCTGTTAATGAAAAAGAAACACAGTTGAGGGAAGCCACTACAAAGTTAGAATCTCAGGACTCTGATAATAAAATACAGGTGTTAGAAGAATCTCTTAGTGAAAAGGACAAGCAAATAGACAGGTAAGACAAAGGTTTTTTTGTGAAACAATCTGAGTAAAAAGGGAAAAATTTATAAAAAATATTCTTAAACCTCAGACAAACAGAAACGTTTTAGTGTAATTTAATTATGTAATGCCCTTGATAAGCAAAAACATAGATAGGTTTTATAATTGAAACCTGACAGACATTATTGGCTCTACCTATGAAATGCAAGAATTTTAGAAATGATTTTGAATGCAAATGATAAAACTGAGTCACTGAGATTTTATATCAAATAGTTATATATTACATATTGTTTCTATATAGTATGATAATTGGAATATAATATTAATTGTCGAAATCCGGATATGGTGTACAAAAACCTTTGCACCTTTTGTTTGCGGTATACCATCTTTTCCGCAAGTTTGTTGTTTTCTGTTTAGTATTAAATTTATAATTAAGACCCATTTATTACATCGGTGATCCGTTTATTTGGCAATCGCCAATGGTAGTCAGCAGGGTTTAAGAACATTTGTTGTTCGACCTGTTAGTCAAATGCGTTTTGTTAAAATATACTTTTTCACTTTTTTGGTCTTTTGGAAAATGTTGTTTGTGCTGTATTTAGACCCCTCTAACAAGAAATTTGTTTTGCATGCACACGTATAAAAATTACGGTTTTTATCCAACGCAATCATAGGTTTGAACGTTGTTTTCAATTTAGACTTGTATATATAAATATATATATATATATATCAATTGTGAACTTGGTTTTTAAGTTTTGAGTGGAAGAGAAAGAGAGCTGGAGAAAAATTCCTATAAAATTCTTGGTATTTTTATGCCCCCGCCGTAGCGGAGGGGGCATTAAGTTTTACCCTTGTCCGTCTGTACGTACGTACGTACGTACGTACGTCCCGAAATTGGTTTCCGTTCTCTAACTTGAGTTTGCCTCAACCAAATGTTATGAAACTTATACACAATGCTTATTACCACAAAACACAGATCAAGTTTGAATTTTGGTGGTGTCACTTTAACCGATCTAGAGTTATGCCCCTTTATAAAAGGAAATATTGCAAAATTTTTAGTTTCCGTTATCTAACTTAAGTTTGCCTCAACCAAATGTTATGAAACTTATACACAATGCTTATTACCACAAAACACAGATCAAGTTTGAATTTTGGTGGTGTCACTTTAACCGATCTAGAGTTATGCCCCTTTATAAAAGGAAAAATTGCAAAATTTTTATTTTCTTCTAAATATCAAGTTTATATAATATATTTTTAAAATTGGAGTTATCTTCCTTTGACCATGATTATAGTTGAATCAACTACAATCAATGCTTTATACAATGCAATGTTTAATTTTGACTTCCACTGATAAAACACAGATCAAGTTGAATTTGGGTAGTGTCACTTTAACCATTATTGAGTTATGCCCCTTTATAAATAGAAAGATTGCAAAATTTTTTAGTTTCCATTCTGTAACTGAAGTTTTCCCCAGCCAAACATTATGAAACCTATACACAATATTCATTACCACAAAACTCAGTAAGGATCAAGTACAATTTTTTTTTTCAGTTCTCTAACTTGAGATTGCCTCAACCAAATGTTATGAAACTTATACACAATGCTTATTACTACATAATACAGATTAAGTACGAAATTAGGTGGCAACACTTTTACCATTCTAGAGTTATGTCCCTTTATAAACATAAAAATTGCTGAATTTTTTAGTTTGTCTCAACCAAATGTTGTAAAACTTATACACAACCGTTCTAGAGTTATGCGTGTTTACAAATAGAAAAATTGCTGAATTTTTAGTTTCTGTTCTCTACTTAAGTTAGCCTCAACCAAATGTTATGAGACTTACACACAATGCTTATTACAACAAAACTCAGATCAAGTTCAAATTTGGGTAGCGTCACTTTTACCGTTCTTCAGTTATGTCCTTTTATAACTATATGATATGCAAGCGGGGGCATCATCTGTGTCCACATGTGGACACTATCCACATTTATTTTCAGATTGAAAGAACAAAAGATTAAGTCAGAAAAAGAGCATCAAGAAGAATTAGATGTCTACACTAAAGCTAGTCAGGACATTAAGACTCGACTGGATTCATTGCAGTTAGAGTTTAATGAAAAACAGGTAAACCACTTCTGTACATGCATAGATGTACCACAATGCAAAGTCTAACTTTGTGAAGATATTTTTTTAAAGAATAAATTTTGCACTGACATGAAGCAATGTATTTAATCAGGCTTTATAGAACTCGTTTATTTTTTATTTTCAAAAGCTTAGAATGTGAAAATATTGTTAACAGAAATTTTCTATCATGATTTATGTTCTTGATATGGTAGTAGTAGCTTCCGATAAAGTGGCAGTAACAGGTAAGAATCACATTAGATAAGTAAAAATCAATATAAATAAAAAATATTTATTGGTACTGTGTTGTCCTTCGAACTAATAGTTTCTGGTATCTTAATATTTCCACTTGCATATAAATCATCAAGTTTCATCTAGATTATTCAATATCATCAGTAACAAATGAAATTTTTCCAACACTAAATTAAATGTTCACAATCTGATAGAAAAATAAACAAATGATAAAAAAAATATATATATAATATAAGGAGATGTGGTAAGATTGCCAATAAGACAACTATCTCACAGAATCCAAATGAAGCGGATTTCACCAACTATAGAAAACATTTTTCAAATACAATAAAGGAAATTTTAAAACCAAACCAAATATTAAAAAAGAATTTATCAAGGGGACAAGCAGATCTCATGTTTCTAAGTTTACAATGGTCTTGTTTAATCCTTTATAGACAGAGTTGGTGGAATTAAGAGAACTGTCCACAGAAGCACAATCAGTCAAGTTTGAGGCAGATTCTAAGATAAGACAGCTGGAGAGTGGTCTGGATGATAAGACATCAGAGGTAGAGAAACTTAATGTTCGTATTGAGGAGGTAGGTTATCCATTATATAGGTATAGTAAGATATTCCAAATGAGTATTTGATGTATATATACTGGATAGTATTTTTAGCTACTTAAATATTGCATGCTTTTATACATTAAACTGTTTTGACCAAAAAATAAACCTTGATAATAATTTCAAGGCATATAATAGTATTTATAATATACTTAGTAGTAAATAAAGGGTACATTTTATGTGTAATACAATTAATGGTATTCATCCTGTATCTGCCATCAGTATTGATACACTGAAATGCAGTCAAGTTTAGCGATTGATAATTCATTGATAACATTCTGGCGTATCACAAACAAACAACTTGTAACGTCTCACTTCATTGGCCGAAAGATTTAAATACAACAACAATTGTTGTGTGCATGTGAATTGACACAGGTGACCGACAATGGAATGTACTACGTTACTACGAACGTAAAAAACAATGATTTTTGGTCGAAATAATTAAATAAGTATTTTGTGAATTTCAAATAGTGGGGTCGAAATATTATACTAATAATTTGTGTTAAGTAATATTCTTTATGCATGCAGCACTTGTACCGCACTATGAAAAATATAAGGATAAAATAAAATACATGTGCCGCTTTTATACGGATGAATGTATGAACCACTTTAATTTCTTTCATATTGACGCTAGGTTATTATCCTGACAATGTTGTAGTTACTTATAATAAGGATCTCATAATACTGATCCATTTCAAATTTATGATGGGTTGCACATTCCTCTTTTATTGTTTTCATGCTATAAAACGAAAATAAAGAAGCTAAGCGTTTGGTCATTCAGAAATGACGCGTCATAAACGAGCAAATTGTCCCCGAAAGATCGTACCATGTGTGCACGTGAATATAGATGTACTATGCAATGTACTATCATGGTCACCACGAAATTCAAATGAATTCAGTGAAGGCATGTTGGTGTAAAAAGGTTTGAAATGTTTCATCGGCGAAGATTTTATTTTTGCATGTGTGGAACTAAAAAATAAATAAATACTTGTGAGAAATGTCGTAGTTTATAAGGAACTATATAAATGTACTGTTTTCGATTTTGATTGGTTGAAAATTTATCCTTTAATTTCATACCGTAAGAATAGAGCTTTGCATAACATTGTTGAACAATCCGCCAAAGTAACGTGTGGCATGCGTGCGTATTAAAATGAAATACAAAATCATACATGTATGATAAACTTATAAACGAAATATTAAGAAATTAAGGATGACTACTGTAAAAGTATGTACAAAAATGGAGTCACCTTTTATCAATACATTTAGTGAATAACCACACTGTTTAAAACTGATTGTTTTCTATGCAACTATTTAAATATTTACAATATATAATTTTCAACCGAGGATAGCAAAACAGTTAATTATAAATTAAGAAAGTATATCGCTGGAGTTTATAAAGTACATTTCCTTCCACTGTGCCATGGTTTGCCATCTCCATTTTTTCTCTAAACAAAGCATGGCTGGTTACATGTTCTGAATTTACTTAGAATTTCGGGATTTTTTTTTCAAAATCAAGTAAACTAAATCAGAAAAAAAATCACACTATCCTAAAACTTATGAAAGAATATGAATAATGAACATGACAGTTTATAACACAAACCCATTTACTATAAAAATAGAGCAATATCTTTAGTATGTAATTTGGTTATTTTTGTAGTTAAGTACGGTTTCATTTCAAGTACAACGTTAATTCATCAGGTCCATTGAATAAAAGATAAGGCAGGGTGAGCAACTTGACAAAAAAAAGGCAGGATGACGATTTATGTAAAAAATCAGGATAAACGAATAAATATAGTCAGGACCTAACAGACTGAAAAATAGAAAGACAGGACAGAGATAACAACTAAAAAAAATGCAGGACAAAATGTTTCATCCAAGTCCTTCACCCCCAATCAAAATAAAATGGTAGCTCCCAGGACCAATTGAGAGGAGACAGTTGAATTAAATATTTCGACGTGACTGTTAAGATTAAAGTTTAAAATTTTACATGCACATGTATAAAAGCTAGAATTGCCATGCGATAATCAAGAACACAATCATGTTCGGGAATACGACGATGGAAGTTTTGAACGACCTTGACCGGCTACGTGAATACTGATCAGTCCATTCAGCTTTATAGTACGCGTGTTCTATTTTTGCAGGTGTGAGGTCGAAGGTTTGCATTGACCAATGAAAACGATCGTTCCTTAACGAGTTAATCTAATAAAGTTTGTTTGACTGATTATGTTGCACGACCTTTCGCTAAGCTTGACCGCAGTTCAGTGTATTGATATCAGGGACTGTGCACAGCCTTTATCAAACCCCATCAGAAAAAAACAACATCTAAGTTTAATATATAATAAAGTGGATATGGTATGACTTTTTCAGTATTACACACTGTATTAACCCTCAACCAATATAATACCTTGAGCAAAGCTCTCTGGATTATATTGATGTCTCAGGTTGATACAGTCTTTTAAAGGAGCATTAGCTGTCAAATCCATATTCACCTATTTGATCCAAATTCCTAAAATTTATTTATACCATACTAAAACATATATCCAAATTACAAAAATTCCAAAAGATGCAGTTAACAATGCATGGACTCATTATGATTTATCAGCAATTCCTGCATATTTTAGACTACACTCCATCTAATTATTCATCGAATGTTTAGTGATATTAAACATTAAACCTTGTTGAATAAAAGATTTGGGTTGTTTCAAAGTCTATATTGAGTGAATTATAATAAGCCTTCTCTCCCTCCCAGATAAACAAAATAAAGTATGTAAAATTTGATAAAAAATTATATATTTTAACATACAGCATTAATTTTCTTTTCTCTTTGGTTTCAGTTAAAAGGTGCTATTCCAGAAACAAAGACGCAAGAGGAATTACAGAAACAAATAAGTGATTTATCTAGTCAGGTGGAAACAGCCCGTGATGATGCTAACAAAGCCCAGGAGGAGGTGGATAGACTTATGGGAATCAATAAGGAATCAGAAAATGAGAAAAATGAGAAGGAAAACCAAATCAAGGAATTACAAGAGTAGGTTTTAAATGATTTTTTAGACCTTTTGTTTTATTAAAGAACTGCCATTTTTATGTATGATGGTATCCTCAGAGACCATTTGTTCACCAACAGCTTTAGTTCGGTTACATCAATTATAAGCTGAAATATACAGAAAAATGTATCTAAATAAAATTAACAGATGAAGTTTCACTAATCACGTAGAAATGTGAATAAGAACAGAAATTGAGCAAAAATGATGGTCAAAAAGACCGATGTAAGATTTCCAAAATGTATACATACAGCAAACACTGAGTACTAAACCAATGGGTAATATACACTCCTGTCAAAACACATGTCATATTGGCCAGTTGTTAAAGCTAATTTATAAGTCGATGTGGTATGGATAAAACAGAACATACTTAGGATAATAAAATATAGAAATTTGTGACACACTCACCATATTTGACCAAGCTATGATAACTTTAGAAATGATAATATCAATTTGATATTACCCTGACTCTATGTTTGTTTCTGGGTGTTTGAAGTTGTGAACAGGCCATAATTTGTGTGTTTCAGTTCTGGATGTTTACTTGAATCTTCATCATGACATTAGTGTTCCAAAGATGGCAGAATGATTTCAGTTGATAGGATAACCACAGCAGTAGCCATTCAGTTTTTGCTCTATTCAATCTGCATATGTTGTGATTTTGAACCCTGCATGTGACAGGTGTGTTCAACTCCAATCTTCATTGACAAGGATTGTTAGTTTTCCTGCTGAAGGTCAGTGATTTCCTCGGGATAGTCTGGCTCCCTCCACCAATAAAAATTGATTGCAATAGTGCTGAAAGTGGCATTAAACACCAACAATCAATCAATCTGCATGCTTGGATGAAACTGTACTTTAAATGATTTATTCATTTCTTTATTTTATCCTTTATTTTTTATAGAATATTGAAAGAATACAAACAGAAAGTAGGAACTTTGAAACGAAAACAAAGCATGGAGAAAAAGAACAGTGCTACCATGCTTGAAGAGGCTAGAAAGAGAGAGGATAGTTTGTATGATGATGCTTCAAAGTTAGAGGTTTGTGAAATAAAATGGATTAAACTAAAATAAAAACTTCAGTCAGTTATTAATACCATTTTGCAGACCTATTTATTTCATTTCTATTTTATCATAGAAATCGTGTTATCTTCCTAATGTGGTGTCTTATAATAGGTTGGTGGTAAACAGTTTCAAAGAAACACTTTGCTGGAAGAAGATGACACTTGTTTCTTCTTTAAGAATTAAACAAACTACTTTCATTGTTATACTTCAAAAACTTTATGGTTATATATCTATGAATTTGCACAAGCGTTATTTCAAATGTAAAAAAATTAAATAAGATGAGAAGTCTCTTTTGATTAAAATACAAAACTGCTGTTTTTTTTTTACCACTACTGGAAATATTACTGGCCTATCTTGAAATATTAGGTATCAAAATATATGAGGCTATATATATATTTGAAAGAGATTCTTCTCATAACACTATTTAGTCATTTCAGTAAAAGAGAGGTCAAATTTAGTCAAGTGCTATCAGATTTTTCTCTCGCCTTGACAGAGTAAAAAAGCAAGACTTAGGTATGCTGTTTCTGACAGATGCATCAACAATGTATTAGTTTGTGATTAGGGCACTTTCTGGGGAACCACTAGTGGTTGGTCAATGCTATTTGGTATGCTGTTGTAGAAGCCTTGGATCATCTTGTTTCCTTGGAGATTATTTGGCCCCACCCCCTCAGTCAAGGTCTATTGACTTTGAAACTTTTGCTTACTTTACATGTATTAGTTCGCGATTAGGTCACTTTAAGGGAGGCCATTAGTGGTAGGTCAATGGTATTTAATGTGTAGATGCATTGGCATTGGCACATCTCATTTTCATGGAGATTTATTTGGCTCCGCCCCCTCAGTCATAGTCTATTGACTTGAAATGTTTTGCATAGTTTTTTTAAAAATATTAAAGTTTGTGATTATATCAGTTTTAGAGGACCCACTAATGTTAAGTCAATGATATTCGATATGCAGTTGTATTAGCATTTGCAAGTCTCTTTTCCATGGAGATTATATGGCCCCATGCATCCAACATCATGGTTCATTGACTTTTACATTGTTTGTGTTTTGGTTAGTGTAAAGGGCACCACTTATGATAAGTCAATGGTATTTGGTATTTCTCATTTCCATGGAGGTTATTTGGTCCTGCACATTAAGTCATGGTTCATTGACTTCGAATGTTTTGTATAGTTTACATGCTTAAAGATTGCCATTTGGATTCAAACTTTGCATTATACTACCAAAATTACAAAAAGGCATGACATATCTCTGTGTCAACAGTTTATTTTATAATGCAGAAATTGTGACAATACTATAATTTTTCTATAGGATCATATGAAATCTAAGAATGATAGAATAGAGGAATTGGAAGAAGCTCTGAAAGAAAGTGTGAAAATAACAGCTGAAAGAGAAATGGTGATGGTGGACCTACAAACACAGCTAGAAGATGCTGAGAAAAAGGTAGGTCTACATTTTAGAATCAAGATTGTAGTAGTTAGTAGTTTTTAAAATGCTGTACATTCATCAGTTTCCATTAGGGATGTTCAAGATTTTAAATGCACGTGGGGAATAGGAGACACTCAAATAGTAATAATGTGTTGGCGGATACATTTTCTTTAGAATTTTGTGTGTAAGAATTTAGGTTAAATGAAAATCTTATATTATGGATGGTTGGGTTTTTAAAAATGCCACCCATTCCCCAGCCCTTATGAACAGGAATGGAAAATTAGTAAATTATTTTTAGAAGGTAGTCTTCTTACCTATGCTATCATTCCTTTTGTGAAAATCAACACTTGTCTTTATAACTATAACAAGCATGTTTTTTTATGAAAACTTAATCAATTTAGCTAAATATATACTTGTGTAATCTTCAGGGTTTGAGTAAATCAATATAGTTAAATATGTACTTGTGTCATCTTCAGGGTTTGAGTAAATCAATATAGTTAAATATGTACTTGTGTCATCTTCAGGGTTTGAGTAAATCAATATAGTTAAATATTTACTTGTGTCATCTTCAGGGTTTGAGTAAATCAATATAGTTAAATATATATTTGTGTCATCCTCGGGTTTAAGTAATAGATGCATCCTGGTAGGATCAGCTGAGTCATGTCATCATTTCATTGCAAAATTGTAAAATTTTGAATTAATTGTTGTTCTTCAATTTATTTTACCCAAAGACTAAATTTATATATTAAGGCATTGATATTTTTTTTGTTCCTACTGGCTGATCATGGCGAAAACTGGTCAATTTATGAGTTCACCTGAAAAAGGTGTAGTGAGAACCCTTGTATGAGTCTCGGTGCCAGGTGAAAGTATGCTTACACAAGGTGGGCCTCTAGATTAGATGAAACATACTGATAGCAAAAATATTTTTTAGAGTAATATTCTGGGATAAATGTGTATGAAAAATTCAGATTTTGTTAGATTTGTGTATTTCACGCAAAAGGAATGATGTTTAACAAGGCCATCAAAATGAAGAACACATGTATGAGCATTGATACAGTGAAATATTGTTGTTACTTACTATTTCTTGAGATTTATTTCTCATTTATATCCACTCAAAATCCATTCAAAAAATTTTTGTGAGCAAGGAATAAATGCCTTGACTGGTATTGAAACAGTAATTTTCCCTAGGTAGCAGTTCTTGGCATCAATTTTTTAATTTTTTTTTATTTCAAAACTGAAAAGACAAGTCATTATTCTCATCTGGAGATTGATGTGTCATTTATCATATCCCTGTTATATTTCAAAATAATGGCACATATTTATTGGATAAAATTGTGTGGTAACAAAAATATCTACTAAATGAGAAATACTCTCTGACAAGAGGACTATACCACTGAAGTTTGACTCCGTCACTTTATGTTTGTAGGTGGATGAATTTACAATGGATCTAGTCAAGTCAAAGTCTGATAACTCAGGAAAAATGGAAAAAATGACAAAAATTATGGAAGAAAAAGATATCAAGTTAAAAAAATTGCATGCAGAGAGACATAAACATCTGGAAGAAGTGTTTGAAATGAAGTAAGTCACTTGAATACGCTTCTATGATATTGGGAATTGAAATTTGACAGATTTCAATGTTTATTGCTGCAGAGGTATGGTCCTAAATGATTGGGGAGATTAATTTTGAGTTTCTGTTCAATAATTAAGAGTAAGCTTCTATGAAATTGTTATCAATTTTATGACAATGCTATGAAACACTTAACACAGTTGGAGTATGATTTGACACATTTCTTGTATCCATTTTACAAATGACTGGGGTGGTAAACCAAATTATCTGTTTTGTGACAAGTGCATAATGGTCCATGGACACACTTATATTTTAATATTTTTCTAAAAAAATAGTTCAGAGAGTGACAAATTATTATTTTAAAGTGTACTGTCTTTTAAAAAACATGAGTCTAGCTGCTTTTCATGTATAATTCCAGAAAAGACAAGTAAAAATTTATATATCTGACCTGAAACAACAAAAGATATGTAATTGTATATTTAGTAAATTAAGAACAACTATGCCTTAATATGGATACATTAAAAAGAATCTTATTAATTGAATGTCTTAGGTTAAAACAAATCCAAAGAAGTTTCACTTGTAATTTGACAGAAACTTGTTCACCTGAATATTAATAGTTCAGAAGTCGTTTTATTATTGTAAAATTTGGATAGAAGATAACAAGGTAAGATTAATTAATGTGAATCTCCACCTATTTAGTAGAATAATACAAGTGAAAATTTAAAATGTGTTTCAATTATTATGATGCTCATCCTGTCATATTTTTGACAATCATAAAAGCATCATATTAAATTTCTGAATTTACAGTATGTTAAAATGTTCACAGCAGTTATTCCAAAAAGGTCTAGAACTAAAGAGTAATTATTTGTTTGTAGACAAGAGGCCATTCTTGCTGCCATGAGTGAAAAAGATGCCAACATTGCACTGTTAGAAATGACAAGTTCTAAAAAGCAGAACTATAAAGAAGAAATAGAAAAACTTAATGCAGATAAAGAAAAGCTTCAACAACAGCTAAGTGATGTGGTAAGGAGACATTACTTAAGATTTAGTTATATTGGGTAAAATTTTGTTGTTTATTTAATCATCTAGCTTTTCTGTGAAAGAATTATTCACTAATGCTTGAAATTAATATCAATTTGACAAGATATTTAGGCTTAATTCTGTTTGTTAAAAGAGACTAATTTTGGAGATTTCCATAAGAAAGAAAACAAAGACATTTTAGAATTACCTGCATCATAACCGAATGAAAATTTTTGTAAACTAGATCTGTGTAAAGAGAACTTTTAGTTCTTATTTGAAATTTCTCAGAATGTGATTTTTTTTCTGAGGGTGATCTTGCTCAAATTGTGATGTCATTTTCCTATATAATGCTTAATGCTTTTTGATTCTTTTAGTATTATTTTTTTTTTAAACATGTTTAAATGGTTCATTTATTTAAAGATTTAAAAGATTGAATGGGGAGATGTTTTCTGTATTGAGGTTGTGTCTAGTCTACTATTTTAAGCACATTTATGTAAAATAGCATTTCATATAATAAGTTTCCTAATGTGAATTAAACTTCCTTCAGCCAAAATTTAAAAAATAATTGGTTGTGTATTCTTTGAAGCAAATATTTTTTTAATTTAGACTTGATGCATTTGAATAACAAGATAAATGGCAGTTACATAATTTAATATTACATTCATAGTAAAATGAGAAAAAAAAAAAAACCAAGTAAATACATGTATTGTAATAAAAATTCAAATATTCTTGTTTCTAATTTCAGACTCATAATAGAATGAAATTGATTCAGAAACAAGAAAGAAGAGAAGAAAGGAAGAAATCATCACTACCTCGTAAAAAGAGAGAGAGTCCTGTAGAGGCTACTGAATCTCAACCAGAACAAGAGCAACCTCCTATGACAGAACAGACAGATTCTTGACATCTTTAGTCTCCATAGATTTTGTTTTAAATTGATGTCCCCATCAGTATTAATAACATAAATGATCAGAAATAGATTATACCCATATATGTAGAGAAAAGAAAAAAACGATGAGAATTCCTTTAATTAACCCAAGTATGGAAAGTGTAATTTTTACAACTCAAGTTGTTCTGAAATCTTAATGAATTATATGTACTGTTATTTGTTCTATAATAGTATGATTTTGTCTTAAATTTATTGGCTTTTAAATTTCTTAAAAAAAAAATATATAAATGAACAGATAAAAAAAAAATGATTTAGTAGACTGTCATTGTAAAAACAAGCTTGTCTTTGAAATATCAACTGTGACCTAACTAAGATACAAAACTCTCTGGTATGCATCTCTATGCAAAAGAAGAAAGACATTTCTTTGTAGTCAAAATGATCTTTTATTGATATGGTTGTATACATGTTTGAACTTGTACAGGTGAATATTATGAAACTGATTATATTTTGTATGACTAAATGAGGGTCTGGATGTGGGGTCCTGCATTTTTTTATTCTTTAGCTTTTTAGACCATTTTTCTCCATTCTGAATTTGTTTTGACCCTTATTTTCTATTCTTTATATTTCAGCACCCCATTATTCTCTGGTTTTTTTTGTTTTTCTCATTTTTGCCCTTTTATTCTTCTATTTTTGCCCATTATTCTCTATTCTGTAAACCCATCCAGACCCTCCTTCATGATGATGAGTATACAAACACAAACAATCTCCTTGAAGTTTTTCATATTCCTACATCCAAAAAGGAAATGCACCAAGCGAAAAAGTATCCTCTGTATAAAAGGACCAGACATTAAAAAAATCATCTTTAACCTCAAAATCAACAATATCAAAAAAGGGGGGACACTTAACGATAGATAATACTCACAAATATTTGGCTCTTTGCCCTTCTGCAGTAGTAAAGACAGAAAAATCAATCTATTTAAATGTAACAGTTATGTGTAAGAAAATTGTAGCTTGTTGAACATATTAAGCATGCAACATTTAGTTGTAAGTTCTATTTCATTCTGTGCAATATTATACAGTATGAAAATACACATTGAGTTTGCATTTTCTATTTGGACCTAAACACTTGTTTTAACAATTCTAAATAGTACATTTGCTATATTTCTCAACATATGTTCAGTGCTGGTGATGTAAACAATTGTAATGATATTTTTTGTATAGAGTACAATTTTTGTATAAATTACATTGTGATAAACTGTGTCTGTGATTGTTCATTAAGGTTGTATATATATAAGTAAAGGATTTTTTATTCAGAAAACAATTTTTGGTCGATGTTTTTGTGTTTCATTGAATATTTTATTAGATACATATTTGTTAAGATTTAGTATTCTTGATTTTTTTTTTAAAGAGGAATGTCTTAACATATTTTTCCCTGATGACATTTACTTTGAAGATATGTTTTTATGGTAATTAGCTATATCCAAAAATATCAAATAATACAAAAATAAATCTGATATACATCAATTTTGTAGATTTTTACTTTTTTCAAGAGGCATAGCTCCTTCATGGCAGCTTTGTGAAATAGAAACTGTATTTTATATTATATGTATTTTATTGTCAACAGTACATATGCTAAAAAAGAGTAAAGGTAAAATAAAACTAAATTTATTATCTGGAAACATAGACAAAAAGCCCTGTTTAAGCATTGTAGCATATAGAAGGAGTTGTGCCTCTCAGAAAATTGAAAAATAAGGGATATTGATGATTTCAAGATTGTTGGTTTAGTTAGCTTTTTAAATGTATTGGGACATCACTTATGCTCATGAAACCATGATAATATTGATATACTATATAGCTGAGCTTTTACTGTTCTCAAGGTTTAACCTTTGATTAATTTATGTTTTGCTAATATTCTTCAGTCATCAAAACATCAGTTTGATAATGAACATTTCAAGTTTTTCTACATGAACATATGTCTATTATAAAACAGAAATTTTGAATTTTTATTCAAACTTTTAAGTCCATATAGCGTAAGTTCTACATAGTAGAAGCCTTAATAACTAGAACAGATAATTTTATTGTCACATGGTTGTATTTGGAGTTTTACTGGGTCATGTGGATAATGAAGAAATTTTTGAGATTCTTGCCTTTGTCAACTAGTTTATATAGATTATATAAAGATAAAATACAACTCAACTTGTTCACAGAAGAAATAGGTTAATTTTTTACCTGTGATGATTTTTTTGAGTACCTTCAATAAAAGTATTCATAATCCCATAATATTTATTCTGTTTTTATGTAAAAACAATTTTCGAAAGAATATTAGATAAATTTAGCATGAGCGTTTACATGCTATCTTTATTTTTGCAATAAGAATAAGAACTTTTTTCTTCAAAAGCACTGTTTTGAGGAAACATGAGATTAACAGATTGAGTTTAACTTAAGCAAGTTCAAATGCTAGATTCAATTTTGTCTCTACTATTGCAATTGTGACATTTTACAAACAGAAATAATTATGTGTGTCAGAGTATTTTTTTTATGTATCAGGTATATTTTTTGTCTCGAAAAAAGATGACTGATTGCAGCATGAATAAGAATATGTAAAGCTACATATACAAGATGCTTACTTCTTGTTAAATTTTTACTGAAATGTGCAATATATAAGATACAAGCATTTATAATTCATTGTCAACAATTCATTTAAACTATTATCATACTTGATGGAAGATTGTGTTCTGGTAAATATTTGTTATTATAAGCCTTCAATTTAGCTATAGTTGTTTTTAAGATTGGAAGGATGTAATATTTACCTCTGTAGAATGACATGTATGGAATTATAAGGAAATGATATGAGTGTTTTTTTTTTGGTCACTTTTAATGAAATTAAACTGAAAACTTTTTCAAATAAAAAAGAGATTTGTTCATTCTAACAATGAAAGTTATTTATGGGCAGAGAAAACACCAAACTAAAGCTTTTGACAGTGTGCAGTTCAAATTCCCAACAAATGCATGAGTAATATTACATGTTCAAGAGCAGTAAGGATATCCTGCTATGTATGTGATACCTCTCATGTAATTTTAACATTTGTACGTCAAATTATTAAGGTATTAAATCTGAATATAATAAACAATATTGAATCTAAAGATAAATTTCTTCAGATGAATATATTGGGCAAAATAAACTTAATTTTAACATTTAACATTTGCTCATAGGAATTGCCTGTGTTAAGTATACTCCTTTTAAACAGATATTTTTGTTCTTTTTAGAAATTTTTATTTTATACTATTTTTATTTTTTATTTTAAGGGCTGTAGATTACATGGCTTTTTTGTAATTTACAAAAATAATAAAGTAAATTATGTATGATTCACGTACATATCTTTGTTATAGATTTCCCATATGCTATTACTATATAAACAATATATACTTCCTCTCGACATTTGCTTGATTAAATTCTTGGGAAATTTTGCACACCTCTAAATGTAAAAAAAAATAGACTTTTGATTCAAAAGTTTGGTATAGATAGTTTTCAGCAATGTTATGTATATTTTTTTTAATATATTTTCTGAGTTCCTCATATGCTTTATTGGAATAGCCCTTTATTATCAATAGATGAATTTAAAACAATGAATATGTTTTATACTTTACCTCAGAGAAGCACAATCACATGACTCTTGTGTTATAATTTTCTGATAACTCTAATAAGTGTACATGTACATCATGAAATGTGCAAGTTGATGTAAATATTTATTTAATTCTTACGTAGTCAATGAAGTTTGATTTAAGTCAATAGTAAAACAGCATTAAAATAAAAACAAGAGACAAATTTATATGGATAAATATGTTACAAAATATAAAAATCAATTATTTACTGAGCAATAAAAAGGGGAAGTAACTCAAAATGTCATTATATTACAATTAATATGTAGAAAAAAACGATATGTAGTACAAAGATAATTTTGTTCCTGATAAATAGACTCTAAAGAGACTCAAAACCATGTGGGTAGTATGGGTATCTTGAGATTCCATGTCCATATAAACAGCCTGATTCATACAAAGTCTCAATCTCACATGAGTTATTTATATACCTCAGATAAAAGCCAGTAATGTTGAGAGTAACTGCTTATTAATGGTATACATGTATCTATGTTTTTATATATTATATATATATATAAATTTTTATGGCATAATAGTGAGAATATTTGTGCTTGCATTGTTCTTGCAAACATAATTTAAAGTCTCCATTATGGATTCCAGGTAAAGTTAACATATAATAGTAAAATTTACTTGATTTCAACATGCAATAGTTTTATTTGTAGAAATTAATTGCAACAGACTGTTAGCCTCTCACAAAAATAGGAGTATCATACCATCTTTTTCATTATGTCAGAGTAGTTTAATAGTACTATTTGACATATCAGTCTTAATGCTTACCACTTGAAAATCTTGTACAATAGATTCATTTATTTTCGTGGGTGTCAATTTTCGTGAATTGAGGAAAACTTTCATTTTCGTGGATATTTAATTTCCTGGTTTTGCAAATCTCTGCATACAAAGCCCATAGAAAATTTGTAATTTGTTGAACATTTGAATTTGTGGTTCATATTTACCCACAAAACCCACGGAAATTAATATCCAACGAATAATAATGAATCCACAGTATGACTATAATATAAGTAATTTGGGAGAGTGTGGCCAACAAATCTCTAAAGATAGTTTTTTTTTAGATTCTTGTAAATAAATTACCTCAACACTTCAGATGACAAAGATTTAAATAATTGAAGAAAGAGGTGGTGTTTGATGGATAAATGTTTCTTTGAATGAGAAATTGGTGTTTGTACCATTAATATTTTGCCTCCCTAGATGTAAGGATGAAATCCATTTATATAGCTGAAAGACTGCCGTTGTAAAACATTTGTATGAGGTGCTCATATTTATTTTTTGTTCTATGTCGCAGTTATTACTCTAGCACTGTCATGTTATAATATGCATGTAAAAAATAATAAAAAATACCTACATAGCTTTATCTTATCATTTCTGAATATTAAAATGTAGCTTTTAATGCTTTTAAGATCTTTTAAATACTGGTAGTATATTTATTTTGTTAGAGAAAAGTTGTGCTTTTGGAGGGATAAAACTTCCTATATTTTCAAGAGAACAAATATAAGAAAGTCTTTGACGGAGTTTAAGGCTTGGGGAAAAAGTAATATTAATGTTGCTTGAAAATTTCTCATTTTGTCTCACTTGTTCCACCGTGATAGAAGGACCTTTACATGATTAGGGCAACTTCAGAATAAATACTTATGATAGACATTTGATTAACAATTATAAAAACATTTGTTTATTTCCTTTTCAAAATGGCTCTACCTACTCAATGCTGTAAGAATTTTGTTCTTAATGCTCTCATTTAGATGTTAAAATGTTATCTGGTTGGGAGCATTTATTAAAAAGTACTGATATAAGACTATTTGGTATTAAGTTGCTTTAGCATTCTTGATTTTGACAAAGTCAAATGCAAGTTTTCTTGCATAATTAATTTTAGAAAAATATTGAATGTTGTTCAATTATCATCTCTTAAAAGATAATGAGGCCCAAATTCTGAGTTGTTTAACTGAATTGAAAATAACTGCTGATTGTATGTTCAGATAAACTTTTTTGGCAAGTGATACTAATGAAATAGTATGTCTATCATTTGGCGTTATGACAGTGTGAGCTATTGTCATTACTTAGCATCCATCATCTGTCATCCAACAATCATCCTTATTGTATCTAGTGTGTATGTAGTTGTATTCGACGACCCCACCTGCCAACCAACAAGGCTGACTTGGCTAAAAAATTCGTAAGGGTTCCGCGGAACCCAGTGTCTCGCCAACTTTTGCTGTTAATCACAGGCTCAACAAAAATGAGATGAGGAAAAAATTTAATAAAAATATTCCTCTCGATACAATTTTTTTATTGTAAGAAGCTTCTGTCCAAGTTTGGTAAAAATCCAGGATAGTTTATGAATCTAATAAATGTTTTAAAAACTTTAACTGCAGACTGTATGTAATGTTAACTGGAAGAAAAACTAAGTCCATTTATAAGTAATATATGGAAAAACAGGAAATTTTTTTTTACAAAATTTCCTTCTAGATACTAGCTTTTGATCATAAACAAGCTTCTGTCCATGTTTGGTACAAATCCAGGATAGTTTAAGAAAGTTATTAAAATTTTAAAAACTTTAACCACAGAGTGAATGTAATGTTTCCTGGCAGAAAAAACTAAGTCCATTTATAAGTAAAATACGGAAAAACAGGATTTTTTTTTTTTTAAATTTACTTCTGGATACTATCTTATGATCATAAACAAGCTTCTGTCCAAGTTTGGTAGAAATCCAGAATAGTTTAAGAAAGTTATTAAAATTTTAAAAACTTTAACCACAGAGTGAATGTAATGTTTCCTGGCAGAAAAACTAAGTCCATTTAAAAGTAAAATACGGAAAAACAGGAATTTTTTTTTTACAAAATTTACTTCTGGATACTCTTATGATCATAAACAAGCTTCTGTCCAAGTTTGGTAGAAATCCAGGATAGTTTAAGAAAGTTATTAAAATTTCAAAAACTTTAACCACAGAGTGAATATTTGTGGACGCCGCCGACGACGACGCCGACGGAATGTAGGATCGCTATGTCTCGCTTTTTCGACAAAAGTCGAAGGCTTGACAAAAAAAGAACCGGGTAAAATGCAAGTTTTGAGTATTATCTTGAAAACCACTATAGATAGAGTAAATCTGACGGGATGGAATGTTGAGAATGTTGAGATCTACCCTCTGATCATTTACATCAAAACTGTCTGATACTTCTTAAGGGAGATATTGCTCTTAAATGATGAATTTTACCAATTATTTTACATTTTGCCTTTTATCTTGAAAATTATAATAGATTGAGAAACCTTAAAAAGCAAAAATGATCATTAAGACAAGATCTACAAATTAGTCAACATGATCGAAATTGTGTGAGAAAGTGCTATTTAAGGTAGATAGGGTGTCTTCCTCCATCTTGGATTTTGTAATACCTGAAAACAATCGGTCTAGATCTTTAAAAGAATGTGCAAATTTTGAGAGTAGTAGGTAATTCATGTGTAAGAATTTTCATTTCAATATAGAAAATGACATGTTTTTTCATATTTATGGTTGCATTTTACAAAAAACAGAAAACTTTTGTTTGATTCAATTTTTTCCAACTTTGCCACATAAGGGGAGGCAACTCAAATTTAAGGGCAGATAATTCAGATTAAGGTACTTTTACAATAGAATGTGTTAGGAATTTACCTATTTTATTATCTTGGATTTTGTAATACCTGAAAACAATCGGTCTAGATCTTTAAAAGAATGTGCAAATTTTGAGAGTAGTAGGTAATTCATGTGTAAGAATTTTCATTTCAATATAGAAAATGACATGTTTTATCATATTTATGGTTGCATTTTACAAAAAACAGAAAACTTTTGTTTGATTCAATTTTTTCCAACTTTGCCACATAAGGGGAGGCAACTCAAATGTAAGGGCAGATAATTCAGATTAAGGTACTTTTACAATAGAATGTGTTAGGAATTTACCTATTTTATTATGTAGCAAGAAAATGGGTCCGGTGACCCCATTTTTTCTTTTTCTTATCTGAAAGCATACTATTAAAGCTATCCTCTCATATTTTATCTCAAAATTCTATGGTGTAGTTTTCGTTTTATGGCAGAAAATTGGGTTTTCCATGCATAATCTATACAAAATCTGTTAATTTTGAACAACCTGTAGTGTGAAAATAAGCCCTGTGACCCATTCTTTTTATCATTTTTTTTTAAAAGCTTGATATAAACTACATTTTGGCAAATTATTAAAAAAATCTATGATGTATAATTTAGACACCCCATCTACCTTAAAGACGATTTTAACAAATTTTTGGCACTTTTTGTCTAATATCGTAAAAACTATAATAGATAGAAAATATAAAATGCAAAATTGATCAGCAAGAGACAAGATCTACAAAAAAATTAAACATGACCAACTGTCAGTCTCTAAGTGCTGTAAGTGATTTATAAGATTGGTGGTTCTAACATAGGAGAGAGTTGTAGTACAGGTAAACAGATGCTCTTTACTGACGATTTATACCATTGTTTTGCGTTTTTGTCTATTATCTTAAAAACTATAAAAAAAAAACCCAGATAGACAGTTTAAATAGCACAAATAATCAGCAAGGCAAGATCTATAAATAAGTCTAATTCAAAAATTCAACCATTAGTTGACTCCTCATAGTTCTTGCCCTTAACTGACACCATTTTTTTGTGTTTTGGAAAAATTATCATTTAAGGGGAATAACTCCAAAAAGAAGTGACAAGTCATCTGACAGTTTTGGTGTAAATGGACAGTAGGTAGATCTCAAAATTCTGAATACTTATGGACTTAATTGAAATAGTCTTACAAATCCTTACAGATTTCAAGTCATCTGCATACCATTGATTGTATTTATATACAGATAAACAGCTGATATATTAGAACATTTGAAAGGTTAGCTGTACTGTTCTGTAACCTTTTAATCTTTATTTGCCATTTCTACCCACTTCACATGTTATGTTGAACTTGCCCAATGGGATATTTTGAAGTTCTAATGTTACAACAATAACTGTTGTCTTTATCTATACCTATATCTATGTTATGTAATTAGTATAAAAATAAGGAGATGCATGTAGTATTATTGCCAATGAGACAACTATCCACTAAATTTCAAATGAAGTCGATGTAATTAATTATATGCAACCGTACGGCCTTCAACAATGAGAAAAACCAATACCATAGTGTCGGCTATAAAAAGCCCAGACATGAAAAATATGAAACAATTCTGAATTGAGAAAACTAACGGCCTAATTCTCAGACCATTATTCAACTGTATTTGTTCTGGGAACAGTATATCTAACATATATGTTCCTGATTTGGTGTATGAAATGATTGTTATGTTTACATATCCGTCTGGCATGGTTCATCTGATCTTGACCTAATTAGAATGAACCTTTAGAAGTTAGGTCCGTTTCGCAGATACTATAAGCACTAGGTCACCCATATTTGGCCAATGGGATGACTGTAAGATGTACATGTTTGTTTGGCAGGGAACATCTGACCGTGACCTAATTTACAAGAATCTTTCATAAATTAATAGGTCCGTTTCTAAGATACAATAAGCAGTCGTCATCCATATTTGGCTACTGGGATGATTGCAAGTATTACATGTTTGGAGGGTACATCAGACCTTGATCACATTTTCATGCTCAGTTGGTCAACATTATTTTTTTATGGTTAGGCCCTTCGCTAGCCAAGGGTTACGATCCACTTCCCTCCTCTCTGGTAACCCTTGGCTAGCGAAGATGTTTTTTAAGATACAACAAGCAAGATGAATCTATTGTTTGTGTCCGTCTTACAGGGTTCATATGGCCTTGACCTTATTTTCGTGGATTTATATTCCAGCTGCAGCGGCGTATTAAAACTTTTTGTATTTAGCTTTATATTTCGGAAGGTAGAAATCCTGGATTTTTCATATCTTGTATATAGATTCCTTGTGGTACGAAGATTCTGTTGGGAATATGTCCATTCTTTTTGACCTCTGTTCGATGGTTCAGCGACTGCTTAAAAAACTAAAAAAAAAAAATTCATGTGGAATTCTCACTTATTATGAGTAATAGGATAATGATATTTGGTATATGGATCCTTATAATGCCTACATATCTACCAGACCAGATTCCTTCTTCATGATATATTACGAAATTGGACAGAAGCTTTTTCATTTTCACGATCAGGGACTTGGACAGGATTTGGAAATTGTTTTTCTCATTTTTTGCATTGAAAATTCAATTTTCCATTTTCATACCACATTCTTAATTTACGCTATGATGCTTGTTTAATCTTGTTTTGAGTGAATTTATCAACTCTGGTACAAGCAGGCCATAATTAAAACTATCCATGAAAACAACAACTTTAGTATGGATAGTACAATAAGGGAT